GGTCGGGAACACTAATGTCAAGCATGCGCAGAAGTTTAAATATCTGGGAAGTGTTTTGATGGAGGACGGTAGATGCAGCGCTGAGATCTGAAGTCGGATTGGGATAGCCAAGGATGCATTTCAGAAGCTGGGCAGAGTTCTGCGAGACAGAAGGATTTCTTTGGTGACAAAGAAAAGACTACTGAGCTGCTACATGACATATGTCCTCTTATACGGCAGCGAATATTGGACGGTCTCCTGAAAGATGAAAAAGAGACTCTAGGTAGCGGCGATGTGGTTCTACAGAAAGATGCTAAAGATATCATGGACCGAGCGTGTGAGCAACGATGAGGTCTTAGAGAGGATGCAAACAAGGAGGAAGCTTGTACTTAACATCAGGAAGAGGTATTTGAAATTTCTGGGACACGTAATGAGAAAGGAGGGCCTGGAGAATCTGATACTCACAGGTCGAATAGAGGGAAAGAGAGCCAAGGGAAAGCAACGCATGGCATACCTGGCGGGCTTAAGCAGAGGATGGCAAAACGTGATCTGGGGGGGGGGAGTTGGCAGAGGCACGAAACATTGAGAGCTACAAGAGATTGGAGGTAGTGGAGAGTCATGATCGTTTACGTCCTGAAGGGACACGGCACATAAAAAGAAGAAAGAAGCTAGATTCCACCTCTTTGGCAAAACCGGAAAAATGCGCTCGCAGGCTGGATTTTGTAAAAGGCCTTCAGTCCGACTGGATATATGTAGAAATAAAACCCGTCACTCCCAATGGATATTTAACCTTGCTTCGTGTACAATTTCGATTGTTATATATATATATATGAAATAAACACATTTCACTTCACCCACTTGTGTATCAGATGACAATTAACCTCCCAACGAAAAGGCCACTTAAGAGACCTTCCCTCCGCCCCCGATGAAACAATCTTCATCAAAGTGTTTAACTGGATATAACGGCGCGACAATCTTAATCACTGGCGCCATTTTGAAGGAGATATTTGCTGGACAACATAAACCAATATTTCCCAACGTGGGAGTGAGCAAACCCTTGTGGGTTCTGTTATATTGAAAGAGGGGCGCTGGGAGTTTTTAATTAATTTGTGTGTGTGTGGGGGGGGTGAACATAATTATTTATCTATTTTTTTTTTTTCAAATTTTCAAAAATTATTCAATACAAAAGGAAATTTTAAAAAGGTATTTAAAACTGTGGGTAACTATCAAACTTTTCTTCATTGCTTTTCCAACTTCCGATATGGCTGAATGTGGTTTCAACACAGTCACACATCTTACTAAACAAAAAAAAAACCGCCTACAAATTACAAAACGAGGTGATCTACTATTTCTATGCAAAGCAACATGGAACTTAAGAGCCTTAGGCAGAAAGCACTAATGTCAACCATCGCATTCAAAACTGAGATAAGCTATCAAATAAAAATGTTTTTTTTTTTAGGCATTTTAATCATTGGTATTTATAATAAAAATGAAAACAGTATCAAAATTATTTTTTTCACTAATATCTAAATCTTATCTTGCGATGAATGGTGAATTCAGTATAATATTCGAAATTTAATTTGACGTGGATGGGGCGTTGACAAAAAAGTGTGTGCCCTAAAAGTGCGCAGATGGAATAAATATTGGGAAACATTGTTATAATGCGCGTCAATACCAATTTA